TTTTCATGCATAAATGCAATTCCAACTTTACCTTTCAATGCGATGTCATTTTATTCAAGCCATGATTCCAATAGAAGCAATGTCTAAAAGAGAGTCATTCTTATCCTACACTACATTAAGGGTATGTTTGAATTTGAGAGAAAGGGAGGGTGGTCAAGCATATTTAGAATGTACCATTTCAGTTCTTTAAGTTTGGCTGGGGCTGACCTGTATCATGACCATGATTAAAATCTTGTTCAATTTCTGCCTCTTCCCAGTTTTACTCCTGAAACCAAGACCAACAACTGTAATACCCAAAGGTCCCCCACACTCCAATTAAACACACAGCAACTCACAGGCTTCCCTGACTACTGCTGCTAGCAAGAGAGAAGCTGGCCAGGCCCCTCCACCTCCCAAACCAACACCAAAGCAAACATGGTTGTACACAACCAGAATTTAACACACACAGCCATAAGCCTGTACAGCCACAGCCACCACCCCTTCTCCACAAAACACACAAATCAACATTCAAACATTTACATTCTCCATAGGAAAATATTGGCAATATATTTGCACCATATGGGTCAAATATTTCAATCGCATCGTGATGGTAGAGAAAGATCTACTTGAAGTTAAATACTATGTATTCTAAATCTCAGACATGTGCTTAAGTTTTCGAATGAGAAAGTAATTGTTTACCGGTTGAGTGTGTCGAGGGTTTATGGGGAAAGGGGCATGCACTCTGGGAAAGAACTCTGGGAAAGATGAAGATGAAGCAAAGAATTGTAAGGCTAAAGAGAAGACGATGAAAGGGCAGGATGGGTCATAAGAGAGGCTAAGGGGAAAACCATGTCAGATGAGGAAGGGAGAAAGAAGAATTGGGTACTTGTTCCATTTTTTGCATTTCCATTTTTTCTATTTATCTTCCTATCTTATCAAGTTTTTAATTTTTCTTAAAAGCTTCAGATGAAGTGCTATTTGTGCTTTAATTTGACTTCTAATACCATGAAGGTGTTATTTCTATGTTTCCAGTTCTCTTCTAGCTGGAAGCTCTGAAAAGTATACGGTGTTTCCTATTCTAGTTTCGAGGTTACCCCTTTCCAATTCTTAAGGGGAGTCAATTATTACCTAGGTGTAATTTCAGAGCTTGATAAAGGGCCAACAACTGTTATCTAAGAGCTGCTGGACAGCTTGGCCTAATGCTTTCAAATCCTAAATCGGACCCCCTCCATGTAGCATGGAAAGCATTAGATACCGAAAAGATGATTAAACCAGTCAGCATTCTGAACCAAGTGTTTATTTTATCTTTCATCATAAGTCATCATTTTATGTTGCAAGCATAAAATCTTAAAAGATATACCATCTTATCTTCTATCCTGTAAGTGTACAAAAGGCCACAGATGGGTGACCCACAACAATCTAGCCATTTAATACAAGCAATTGTGAAAAAGTCCATGAGGATCTAAGTAACATCTCCATTCTTGAATAGAAGTAGCCATATAATGTCACCAGATAATCTTGTCAATCTGTTGTTTACTTTTGTCCCGGAACCTCCAGGTAAGAGGGTCCTACTCATGCTCCCAACAACGAGGAGTATTATGCAAAACTTTACTACTAGAAAGACAACATGCTCCTGGGGACTTTAATGCACTTGATCACAACATCAGAAGCAGTGCATCCAAGGAAACTTGTCCCAGACAGCGCAAAACTAACCTCATCTCCTCGTCCTTGAGTATTCTGATCCATTGTCGTTAGTTCTTGATGTGATGAAAATTGAATGTAAACGTTTCTTCCCCTATAAGCAATCAAGATGGAAGACATCAAAATAAACTAGGTAAATCAGGAAAAAACAAGAATACAACAAAATTCTCATCATGGAGTTTCCCATGCAAAAATTAGTATTTAGCTGTTGTGATACCTAATGCTGGGTTGAACATTTGTGTAGAATTGCAATGCAGTAACAGCGGAAGGAACATCTTGCATTTGGAGGAGGGCCTAAAATGTTAGGAAAGAATGGAAATATCAAAAATAAATAACTTTTAAAAAACATAAAGGTTCACAGGCCATATGTTCATAAAAAAACCTGATTCTTGGCTCGAAGCATTACAAGCTTCGTGATAACTCCAAATGGCTGGAATAGCTGAAGCAAATCGTTCTGAGGAAAAAACATAGAATGGCATTTGCCACTGTAAGTAGGAGATACTTTATTTAAAAAAATGTAATGGAGAGCAATACATATTATAAAAGGTTTAGAAATACAATACCTACATCAATTATGGCATCAAGGTTCTCAAACTCAGAGAGAGCTTTAATGGAGATATAATAACGAGATGTTGCTAAAAAATGGCTGAAATAAATATTCAGGACTTTTTGGATGATGCTTATTCAAACAATTGAATCATACACAACTAAGTTCTTCTTGTCATCATAGCACAATAAAGATAGCTGTACTGATTAGTTAACAGTAGCATTCAATTAGTGCAAATCAGTTTTCTCATTTGAATAACATATTACTTAAAATATATAGAAAAACAGTAATAACTTCAACGGTAAGACGAGAAATAGGGTATAAAAAGATCACATGGTAGAAGTTAAACGGGTTTGAGATGCGAATATGGATTATTAATTTGGCATATGTTAGAAAAGTAGTTTATTAATGTCACTTGCATGTATTTCTAAACAGAAAATTATGTATGACAACAAAGCAATGAGTTTAGGAAGACTTTATTTTTTAATTTAGATAATACCTACTCCATATAATATCTTTATTAGAGGAGTTTTGAATGATCATGCATGGGAAAGAACTTGGGACTTGGACTATGATAAAGCAGATGAAGAATTTTGGATTTGGAGATGAAATGAAGAGGCAACTCTCATTTTGAACTTTGGAATGACTCGTGATTTTGGTATTACTAAAAATGTGCTTTAATAAAAGAGTAGTAGGAGATGGCGCTGAAGACATTCTTGTTAGGTATGGTGGGATGGAAAGGAATGGTGGATGCAGCACTTGGGATGGACACTAACTTTAAGAAGTGATTACAAAAAGTGACGATAGCTTCTAGTGTAAACTTATTCCTAGCGAGAGCCTTCTCCCATAATGTAGGTTTATGGGTCTTGATGTGGTTACTGAAATTGAAAACAGAAACCAAAAAGGTATGTATCCACATAACAAGCTGGTAACCCATACGGTGAAGTGCAAGTAACTTTAGAAAAATAAAAATAAAAAAATTGGACAGTAATATAAAAAAAGAGTTACTTGATGTGGAATGGGGTATTAGTTGCATTGAAAAACCTATTAACTAAGTTATTAGGCGAATCTAAGGATAGAAGCTAACAAATAAGGAAACACGGGGGTGGAGTATTAAAATTAAAAACATATAAGAAATTGTATAATTAAGAAAGCTCCTTACAAGATGTCTCAGAACCCCACCCCCAACAAATAAATAAATAAATTTAAATTAAATCAGGCCAAGTGCACTAAGAATACAAATTAAACAGTTTTGCTTCATCGCAATGAGGCCACTGACCACACAAAGATTGCAGAATTATTCAACAAATTCTTTAATCAAGGCACATCAATCTCTAAAAGTCAACGTAAAAAATTGAACTTAACCTGGCCAAAAAGGATTTGGATTTTGAGAGAAAGAAACATTATAAAACAATTTAAGATGCACAAATAGTTTTTGTACTCTTTATTCTTATAGTAGGAGCTACTAAACGAATATATTATACAACATTGACGAACTAAGCCAGTGATGATGCGTATAATGAACCACAAAGACTCAAATCCATTTACAGTAACTTCATTTCCTTCTAGTATCCATGGAGAATATAGGAATGTACATAAAGATGAAAATTCTTCCAGACATGTATTACGTAAGTACTAAAAAATATGAAAGCACTTTCTGGATGAATAATACATGCAAAGAGAGATACAGATATTATACCTCTGAAATTTCATGTCCAACATTACGAACATGAATGACTTTTGAAGGCTCTGCCATTATCAACAACCTGAAATTGGAAAATGCTCAATAAGCATAACAGGGTGATGTCTTCATACAATGACGTCTCAAGAAGTAACAATCATCAAGAAAATTAGAGCCGGTACTGGGAAAAATAAAAAATTAATAATAACAATTCAATAAAGGTGAAGGTTCAAAAATTTGCAAACCAGTCAGCTTCAACGTATTTCATTTTCAATCAGTAGTTTAACTGCACATTTCATTTGATCTAACAATTAAATACATGAACAGAAGTACATGAAAATGCCGCTACAAAGCCAAATCCCATTTTCGAGAATTCATGAGATACACATAATCCCCAAAGAACCTGAAGATGCAAAATCTAACTGCTAAACATACACACACACACACACACATATATATAATAGCAGTTTTACATTTCAGCTATCATATCAGCTCCATGACGTTATGCATCAGTCAAGAGAGTATCAAGCCTTAAGAAATCCCATTTATAGAGGTTCAAGCCCCTCATCCACCCAGAATTATCACAAACAAGTTCATATGGACAACTCGTCGTCGTTAGAAGTAGTCAACTTTTTACTTCTAAGAGTACTGACACATTCTTGAATCCTTCTTTGTATGAGAAACTGGAAAATGATCAGAATTCGTTGCTAATTGCAAATCCAAGCGTATTAGGGTATCGTGGAAATTTAATCGAAGCATAAGGATATTGTGATCAATACTATCATTTTAGCAGCAAAAATCTTGATGACAGCATATAATGCCACAGATAAGATGAAAAAAATTATGAATTACCTTCCGAACACAAAGAACCGAGAGAGCAGAGAAGCAATTCGGAGAGAGTAAGAAGAGGATTCGATGATTAGGGTTTGCGCTTTTACTTCACCAGTTTGTTACGTTTATACCCTTGAGAATCACTCAAGTAGAGATCGAACCTGCAAAGTAGAAACTGAAAAGGAGGGGTATTTTAGGAATTCAACTATAATGACACTTGTATATATAATGATGCAAAGCGAGGATTTCTAACGCACTACTTGATCTTATCTGAGCAGGCGGCGGTGGAGACGGAGGCTGCGGGGAAGATTGTGAGAATAATATGCTACCCAGCACGCTAAAGTAATAGCGGAGGCTGCCGGAGGCTCTGATTTCTTCACAATTTGTTAAGTCAGTCTTCCCCGGAGCCCCCTTTCACGGCTGTACTGCGATGAAGACTGCCCGCCATCGGAGCCTATTTCATTTTAATGTGGCGATGATGGTTGCGCGGGCTTTTCCCAAATCTATAGTTATTTTTGCCAGATTTATTGTTAGTTCACCTTCTCTGATATATCATTCATTATATTCTTGTCTGTAGCCGAGCATCCCTCAATCGTTATGTGGGTAGCCCTATATTGTTATGTTAAAACTTTCAGTCGATGATATTCTCCACTTTACCCAGTGGATATATTTTGGATCCGCAGCTTTAATTTGTTCAAATCCTGTCTACTAGCTTATGTTTGAATGGAGCTGCTTATTCTGCATTTGTTTGAGTCCCATTCATTTGAATAAATGTGCTATGGAATAGAGATTGACGACGAATGTGTTGTCAAAAAAGAAAATATTTTTTATTTGCGAATCTAGGAATGTGTTGGATAAAAATGGGCATTGTAAAAAAAAAATGTAAAGTAACTAATGGCAAATATGAGCTTAGGTTCTTTGTCTTTTTTTGTTTGAAATGAGATTGTGATGTGTTAAAACTTTTGAGTCTGTCGAATACTTGCATTGCTTATTTCCCCTTGGATTTTTAATTCTTTGTTCCACGTCCTCTTACTGATTACCATGTGTAGTAGAGTAGTTCATTTAAGGTTTGTCTGTCCCCTTTTAATTTTAAAAAGTGTATTATGGAATAGTTCAAATGTGTGATTAAAAATAAAGATAAAGTTTTTGATTTATGTGTAATATTGTTTTAATTAAGAATTTATTGTTGAAAATGAATACTGTCACGGAACAGTTGACAAATAAAGGCTTAATTCTTTCTTTTTGGTTTCAATCGATGTAAACAGATCGTAGAAAGTGCTTGCACAGCACAACCCCCAAGGCAGTGGGATGCAGAGCTGCAAATGTAAAGAGTGAGTTTTATATGAATTTCATCTGTGAAGTATAAGACTGCCATTTTCAGAGGGAATCGATGATGGGTTTTTTGTGTGAATTTCATACCATTTTTTTCAACTTTTGCCAAGTTATTTATTTTTTTTTTTTTGAGTTTCAATGTTGATTATATGAAATTTTGTAGTAATTAGTCACGAGGTTTTAAAATCAACATTATTGAAGATTGATTATCGGGAGGAACTGCAACCAAAGCCACGAAACGAAGTTTAGTGAAATTGTTCTGTTAAAAAGCACAAGGGTACAACATCATTATCAAGTGAAGTAACCACATTGATGTCAACCACAGAACCAAGTAAGTGCAGATGAGGTCTGAGCTATTGACATTTCACATGTAGACTTGTTAAGGTTGAGATTGTATAATAGTAAAGGGACTTTAGGATGGATGACTAAACTGGCAAACCATTAGCCCTTGTTCGAGCTCCATTTTTTCATTAAAATATATTTTCAATGGTGATTTGATTTCAATTACATATTTTTTAATAAAATAATATTACACAAAAATCAAAAAAATTCTTATTTTTTGAACATCACATTTTTTATCTTAACGATATTTCAAAATGCCTTTTTTGGGGGAAAAAAAGGCTCAAATAAATGTTTTATTCCAATTTAGTTTTAAAAAATATTAATGTAAGTACAAATAATAAATTTTGGATAACGTCACCCTTCTTTCATCAAACAAACCTGAATTAATTGTTTCAGTGGCCACTAAATTTAAGTTCATTTTTTCAATTGCTCACTTAAATTTAAAATAAATTTTAGTCACTAAACTTTAAAAAATGTTATAAGTTATTTATTAGTATAATTTTCGTCTCAAATCTCTAACGGAATAGGTGACGTGTCTAATGGAATGCACATGTGGAAATTTTGAGATGGTCAAATTTTGATCACTAAATTTTGAAAAATGTTTCTATTTCTAACGGAACTTTGAAATTGTTGAATTTTGGTCACTGAAATTTGAATAATATATTTTATTATTCATTATAAATTTAAATTTAATTATGCATTTATACAATAAAATATTTCACATCTAAATTCAAAATTTTACTCAATTTTCAATCACATGTTTTTCAAAAAGTTACTATTTTTAGAATTCTTTGAAAAAAAATGATTGTCATCAAAGAGGGGTCTAAAATTTGTTGTTAAAAATTTTTGAATTTAATTTAATTTTTAAAATAAATATATTGTGTGCTTTATTACAATTAGGAGTTACTTCATTTGCATAGCTTTGTAAGCATTGGTTATATTGCTTTGAATGTTTAAATTTAATTAATTAATTTTTTTAGAATTTGAAGCTATTTTCATCATAATATTTGAATTTTACAACGAAACATAATGAATTTGTTAATTTTTAAATAAAATTAAATTCAAAATTTATAGTGAGCAATAGTATATTTTTTTCAAAGTTTAGTGGCCAAAGTTCAAATTTTTTCAAAGTTCAATGATATAAATTTGATTACCTCAAAGTTCAGTGAGTAATAGAAGACATTTTTTGAAGTTTAGTGATCAAAGTTCGATCATCTCAAAGTTTAACGGTATGATAGGATGTCACATGTGCATTTCGTCGGCTACGTTATCAATTCCATTAGAAATTTGAGACGAAATTTATGCTAACGAGTAATATATAATATTTTTCAAAATTTAATGGTTAAAATTTGACATTTTAAACTTTAATGAGCAATCAAAGATATGGATTTAAGTTTAATGATCAAAATTTGACATTTTAAATTTCAGTGAGCAATTGAAAATATGAACATAAATTCGGTGACTATTGGAACGATAAATTCAACAAAATTTTGCTATCAACACTAAAAATGAACAATTCTTGATTTTTCATATTCCCATAAATTTCTTTCCTTATGTCCTTGTTTGAGTCACATTATTTTTATAAGAATGCGTTTTTAAATAGTGTATTGATAGGAAATGTGTAGTTAAAAAAGAAGGAAAATTTTGAATTTGCATGTAATATTATTTTATTGTAGAATGTGTTGTTGAAATGATGTTGAATCATTGTTTAATAATGTATTTTTTTAGGATGTTGGGTGGGGATTAAAATTAGATTAGTAAATTGAGATAGAAATTTTTGAAATATATTGTTGAAACGTTATAGGACCTATGAAATATATAATTAATATTGATTGTTTGATTTTTTTACGGGGTGTCCTCAACTCAAGTTTTAATAGATTTCTTAATGTTTATAAATTCTCATGGATTTTATGAAATTCAATAGAATTTAACAGATTTGCATTAGATTTGCATAAATTTCTATTTTGTAGATTTTCATAGATTTTATAAATTCTCATGGATTTGTAGGCTTCTCTATTATAATTGTATTTTTACTATTCAATTGCCCAAATCAAATCGTTAACTGAACTCCGTAAAAATAATAGTAATAAATAAATAAAATAAAATTTAAATAAAAAAGAGCTAGACCTATTATTTCAAGTTTATTTTTCTTTGTGAACCAAATTATGTCAAGATGCGCAACTTTCTGATGCTTATTATGTTGAAATGTGCAAATTTTAATGGTTAATCTAAAGGTGTGTTTGATTACATTTATTTTCCATGGAAAATATTAGTTTTCCATCCAAATTTTCACTTGGAGTATTTGATTGCTATTTTTTTCCATGGAAAACATTTTCCAACTTTTGAAAATATGCCTAATTTTCCTTGTTTTTAAGGAAACTATTTTCCTTGGGTAGAGGTGGTTTTTATTTTCCACGAAAGATGGAAAATATTTTCTTTTCTAGGTAATATTTTTCATATCAATCAAACACACTCTAAGTTCATCTTCACATGTTTTTAGTTGCCTTTGAAATGTTACTTCTCTTGACTCCCATCTCCCATGTAAGCAAGTTTATTTGTAATGTGACGAGAAATTGGATACTAAAACGTCAAGATGTCTTATCTTATACTAAAAAAACCATTTTTTTTATTAAAAGAAACTCGTAAACTGTCATCTTAGCATAATTCAATTTCCATTAATCTTCATTCAACTCGTTCAAAATAGCTACCCACATATTTGAAGCCATATTAGATCTCCATTAATTTGTATGCTCTCTTTGTTGCTTTTGAGTTTCAAATATAGTGCTTGTTTATGCTCCATTATTTGTGAGTGATGTATTATGTGGTTCAAAAAGAAATAAAAAAATTTTATTTACATATATTATTATTTTAATGAAAAATATGTAGTTGAAAATAAGTACTGTAAAAAAATTAATATGGTAAAATGTGAAAAACTTGGAGACAAACAAAGATATATTTTCAACCTCTTCAATTACTAGTAATGATGATGTAGATGAATCTTCACTATTTGATTCAATAGGAAATTCATCAAGACGACACTCTTTGCTAAGAAAATTGTGCAGTCTTGCACATGCTAACACCATCTTTGCTTGTGTTTTAAATGGAAATAGAGGTACTAATTTAAAAATCGTGAATCACGATTTGAAAATGCTTATTATCTCGATTACATTTCTTAAGCTAGATGAAGATTGAATAGTTCGTTAGCATTTTTTGGATTACAATCCTGGCCACCAAAATCCTTGACATGATACCGAACACCTTGAAATGGAGTTAATAATTGACGACGATTTGAAAATCCACAATCCACAAGAAAATATTTACCTAAGTATAGAATTCATGCATAAATCATCTCATGTCACCAAAAAGATAACTTATAATCAATTCAAGAAAAAAATGATTACCTCTTGGTATTTTAAGTCCATTTCTTCTTACTAACGTATCATTTAGTGGTCTGGAATCATGAGTTGAACATTCCCATCCACTAAGGATGTAATGAATTCCAAATCAAAATTGCAAGTCGTCAATACATTTTGTGATATTGTTCCATGACGATTACGATAATTGTTCATGTCATGCCCTGGTGTCATAGTCGGTATATGTGTTCATGCCATTGCCAATTGCTATTCTTAAGTCTTTATAGTCAAGAAAGTTGTCGGTACGAAAGTACCTCTGTTTTGGATGGGACTGTTAAAGAACAAAATATAGTAAAAAATGATAAGTCACCCTTTATTGTTAAAGAATTATAATTTAATCTCTATCCAAAAATTATATGGAACACTTACCTCAAAGTAATTATGCCACACTTTGTCACTAGCAGGTGAACTTTTTTGTGATTGGTTCCCATCCAAAACCAGAGCTATGCCGCATAAGTTCAAAGTATTTGTGATATTGTTGCTTAAAATAACTCAATCGACTTTGGTACGTAGTACAGTTCTTTTGACATCCAAGCTTTTCATTTAGAGCGGGAAGGCTTTATTTTATTTTTTCAACTATTTATTTACTTAGAACCCCATTGGTATTACACCATCCACGATTGGCAACATCAACCAGAAGTTCTAACAATTTAGAATTTTCTTTCATGCTCCATGCATTATTTCCATTCATGATCTCTCTCTCTCTCTCTCTCTCTCTATCTCTATATATATATATAGCTTCACAAATAACAAATCTTGTTGAGTCTATTCAATTGGTATCTCGTGAAGTCAGTAAATTATAAAGCAAATCAATCTATGTTGTCGAAATCATTCCATTGGCAGTACATCCACTTTAACCCACATAGCAAGCGTCAAAACAAAAATAAAAACAATCTCTAACGTTGTCCAATAGGCTAACAGTGAGCCGTTGTGGTTATTAATTTTGCACAATAAACTTGCTAACTTTCCCACCCATCCTCTAGTGGGGTCAGTGGCACCAAATGCTACTATTAGAAAATATATAGTAAATTATTGACATGTTAAAATTCTTAAAATTACTTGCTACTATTCAATTTTTGAGATTATATAAGATAAGAGTTCAAAACTAACTCGATAAGCGCAAAACTTCATTTTTTTCAATCTCTTCCCATATCAAAATATAACTCAAATTTCTCTCGAACATGTTCAACTTTCTGTAATATAGGCACAGCCTAAAAATTATAATTCTAATTTCTGTTCACAAAAACTTCACCTGGCATCATCGTTTCTGATACTTTCCTCATTACATGTCATCCAGCTGGGGAACGTTACCCATTTCGTCCCGCAACAGAACGGTGCTCAGAATCAGATGGAATTTTCAACAAAGATATATTAATTGACAAATAGAAGGGGAATTATTCCATGTTTATCAATGAATTAGCAGCGAGTATAAATTTGTCTAAGAGAAGCTCTTGCTACAGAAAAGTATTCATTCCAAACTGCATAAACATAATTACATTGACAAAACACTCATAGAGGTTGATACCAATGGAACTCTTCAGTTGCCTTCCTATTTTGGGTCAGCATTACATAATGATAGCAAACATGAGTACACATATAAAAATGCCAAGAAAGTTAGCAAATAAGCCTAGGTCCTGATTATATATATATATATATATAGCTAATTTGAATATTCAACAAAAAGTAGTGTTATAGATTTTTGGTAGTTACTCAACAAAAACTTCGAAAAATCATAATCAATTGATAAAA